TGGTGAACTGATTTTTGACAAAGAGATAAAATAAGTGTAGACACCAAAGCCTTTTTAACCATTGGTGTTGGCAAAATTGGAAAACCATCTGCAGAAAACTCAAATAAGACCCACACCTCACACCATACATAAAAACCAGCTCAAAGTAGATCAGTGACCTACGACTATTACGACTATAAGCTTCATTAGAGAAAAGCTTGGAAGAACCCTACACGCACTAATCCACAACTTAAACAGTCTCCCAAGCATTCTGCAAAACCTACAACCAGGAGAGGATAAAATAGATGAATGGGACCTTCTAAGAATCAAATCCCTCTACATATCCAAAAACTTCTCCAACAGAGAAAAAAGGGAAGCCACAGACTGGGAAAAATATTTGGTAATAATGTCTGATAAAGGACTTAAATCTAGAATGTATAGAATACTCAAACGCCACAACAAGATAAAGGTAAATGAATTGCAAAATGGGTACAGGATATGAACAGACACTTCATCAAAGAAAACATTCTGATGGTAAACAAACACATGAAGAAATGTTCAAAATCTGTAGCTCTCAGAGATGCAAATCAAAACAACTATGAAATACCATCTCACCCCAGTAAGAATAGCAAAATTTAATAGAGCAGCAAACAACAAATGTTGGCAAGGTTGTCTAGAAACTGGAACCCTTATTCACTGTTGATGGGAGTGTAAAATGATGCAACCACTATGGAAGGCAGTATGGCGCTTTCTCAAAAAGTTGGAAATAGAGATACCATTTGACCCAGCAATTCCACTACTGGGAATTTATCCTAAAGAAACCAGCACTGCCACCCAAGCAGATATATGCACACCCATGTTTATTGCTGCTTTGTTCACAATAGCAGAGATTGGAAACAACCCAAGTGCCCATCAACAAAGGAATGAATAGAGAAGCTGTGGTATATTCACACAATGGAATATTATGTATCACTGAAAAACAACTCATGAAATATTATACAAAATGGGTGACCCTGGAGGACATTATGCTGAGTGAAATATGTCAGTCACAAAAAGACAAATACTGCATAATGCCACCGTTATAGAACAGGACTAATGTGGAGTTTGGGGAAAACTAAGAAAAGAGGGATAAATAACATTACAGGGCATTGAAACAGATGAGGGTGAAAACTGTAAAAGGAATATATGATTAGGTATTAGTGGCATGACAAGAGTCCAGAATAAGAGTTGTATAGTATAGTGGTCCAGGATGGGGCATGTATAACAATGAAAGAATTTTTTTCCAAAGAAAAAGACAAACCGGGGAGGGGGGACATGGGGGGCAGGGAGGAAAATGTGCAACAGTGAATGAATGGAAATCCAAGTTCTTTTTTTTTTTTTTTTAATTTTTATTTTGTGTGCGTGTACCGTCAAATCAGATCTGACTGGTACAGGAGGATATTGCGCCTCCTTCTCCGGCAGAGCATCTGGTGGATTCGAACCGTGTTCCTCTGGGATTGCAGTGCAGCTTCTTGCCACTAGGCCACCAGAGCTCCCCCTGAAATCCAAGTTCTTGATAAACTTTCATTAATATCTCAAAAAAAAAGTCTGTTTCATCCGAGATTAATATTACTACTCCTGCTTTTATCTGGTTGCCATTTGCTTCATATATTTTTTTTCCCACCTTTTTATTTTTAGTCTTTATGTTTACTTTTCTGGTGTATCTCTTGTTGGCAACATATTAATGGGTTTGGGGGTTTTTATTAGCCAATCTGCTACTTTTTTTTCCTCTTCAGTGGTGCATTTAAACCATTCACATTCAGTATCGTTATTGAGAGGCAAGGGTTTACTGCTATCATTTTGTTGAGTACTTTCTAGTGTTGTTGCTGGTTTCCTTTGACCATTCTGCTTTCTGTGGTATCTCTGTAAGAAGGGCTTCTCCCAGTGTTTCCTGCAACGTTGGTATTATTTTTACAAAGTCCCTTAGGTTCTGCTTTTCTAAGAATATCTCGATCTCTGCTTCATCGTATTTGATGGAACGTTTTGCTGGGTATAGTATTCTTGGTTGACTGTTTTATTCTTTGGGTGTTTGATGTATGTCATTCCACTGTCTTCTTGCTTGCATGGTTTCTGGTGATAAATCATCACTTAATCTCATTTACTCTCCCCTATAGATTACTCTTCATTGATCCTTAGCTGCTTTCAGAATTCTTACCTTATCTTTGGTTCTGGCAGATTTGACAATGATAGGCATTGTTGTTTTTCTTTTGGGGTCTGTTGTATATGGTGTCCACTCAGCTTCTTGAATATATTTTCTCTCACTCTTCGTTATGCCTGGAAAGTTTCCTTCTAGTAATTCTTCCACAACTTTCTTGGCGCTTTTACCTGCTTCTTCCTATTCTGGGATTTTGATTATGTGCATTCTATTCCTTTTGATGGTGCCCCTCATTATTCTTAGGCTTTCTCCCCCCCCCCTTTCTACCTATTTGAGTCTGCTTTTTGTTCTAGCAGATCAATTGTGACAATTTTATATTTTGCTAGTTCTTTGTTCCATCTCTTCAACTCTGTTCATATGTCTCTCCAACATGTTGACAGCATCTGAAACATTGGTCCTCATATTCTGGGTTGTGGTTTCTTGGGGTTTTTTTCCAGAGCCTCTAATGCTTTGTTTGTTTTATTTGCATTGTCTTGGATTGCTTTTTTACGTTATTTTTGGGTTTTGCTTGCAGAGTCCTGTAATTCTTTGACCCATTAGAAATATTTGATCATTGCTCTTTTTAAGTCTGTATGAGATAGTTCCATCAGACATTCTGGCATCAGGAAGTCCATTAATACTTTATCACTTTTGGGGAGGTTATACCTTATTTGGGGTTTGTGTAAGGTGTGAGGTAATCTGCTTCTTCCATGTCATTGCTGTGGTAGAGTTTTTCTTACTTGAGGTTTTAGTGGGCTCTTGGTCTGATAACCTTGGCTCAGGAAGTCACTGTTTCAGAGGAGGGCAGGGCAGCTATCCTGCCTGAGTTTTTCTCTGATCTTTTGACTCAAAGGAAGACTTGCTCCAGTTGGGGAGAGATATGGCCTGTGAATTCTAGATCAGACATGATGAGGATGGCACAGGGTTCTGATCTGTTGTTTACAGGGTTTCTGTGGGTTGTACTTGACAGCAACTAACAACAACTGTACAAAATAGTCTTATGGTAACTTTTTTACTCTTGTGTGAATGCAAACTCTTAGACAGTGTGATAGCGCTGATAAGTGAGGCATAGTTGTAATAAAGAATTTGTAGCAAAACCAGAAGAGCTTTCTTAAAAAGGTAGCTCCCAGATTACACATAAGTCTAAGTTTGTCTTTCGGTCATGCGTGTGTTTTATTCTGAATATGGTTTGTCCCTCCTATCAGTCAGATGCTTGTCTTGGTGTGTTGTATGCAGTCTACCTTTCTTTGTAGGATCTTAGCTGCCGTTGAGTCCTCTGTGACGCATAGCAGCCCTGTAAACACTAGTTTCAAACCTGGCCTGGCCTGCACCATCCTATGGTCTCACGCTCAAGCACCTTGTTGCCGTGGCTGTGACTCAGTGTCCCTAAGGATCTTCTCTGTTTTGTGGACCGTCCCCTTTTCTGAGCATGATATCTTTCCAAGGACTGGCAACACAGTATGCTCAAAGTGTGTGAGATGAAGTTTCTGAGAAAACGTGTAAGGAGCATCCTGATTGTGCTGCTTCCGAGACGGATTTGTTTGTTGTTTCTAGTCTGGAGTGGACTCAGCGGAATAGAGCAGCAAGAAGTCTGGTCAGTACTCTGCCAGTAACCATAATTCAAGGACATCAGTTCTGTCTTTCTTACTGTTCAACTTCAGCATGAATAGGAAGCACTTGAAAATGGCATGTGTCAGATGCATCTATCTGTTTTTGTGCACATTTCTGTCTTCTTGAAGTGTAATTCATATTGAAAGCTATTCTTTTTGATACTCTTCAGCAAATGAGTCTGGTTGTCTTCTCTTTCTGCAAACAGTATTGTTTCTTTTGCAAAACACAGGTTTATGAGTCATCTTCTAATGCTGATTCCACATTCTTCAAACTAGTCATTCAGATAGAACAAGAGTATATTGCATACATTTCTTTGTGTAAAAACAATTCAGGAAACACCTCTAGATGCACCAAAACATCTTTAAAATAATAATAATGATGCAGTAGAGCTTGCTTCGCTCCACAACTAATACTCTTGGCACCAGCAGTCAGGAAATCAGATTATGAATTGCACTGGGCTAATCTGCTGTTAGGGAACACTCCAGAGTACTGAAGAGCAACAGTGTTAGCCATGAGACTAAGGTATGCCTGGTCTTTGCAATTACTTGCTGTGCATCAGAGAGCTGGACCATGACTAGGGATGACACAAGACGAATCAATGCCTTTGGTTTATGGTGCTGGAAAAGAGTCTTGAACAAACAATAGACTGCCAAGAAAACGAACAGTTCTGTCTTGGAGAGGGTGAAACCAGATTTCTCCTTGGAGGCAAGCATTTTGAAGCTCTGTCTCACATACTTTGGACACGTGGCCAGGAGAGACCAGTCCTTGGAGAGGGGCATCATACTTGGATTGGTGGAGGACAGCACAAGAGAGAAAGAGCCTGCATGAGATGGATTGATACACTAACTGGGGTAATGGGAGGAGGTTTGTTGGAGTCAGTGAGACTGGCTCAGAATAGGGCAGGCTTCAAAGCTGTTGTACACAGGGTCACTGTGAGTTGCAGGTGACTTGACGGCACGTAACAACAGCAACAATAATATTTTTGAAGTGCATTATGAAGTAATACCTATCAGTATGAACCACTGTATGTCCTTTAGAATTTTTATAGAGTTTTAGGGGCTTGGTTCATAACTACAGCTTGTTTGAAAGTTGGATGTTCATAACCCAAGAACTACTCTTGTAATTAAGGAGAGTTTTTCTTTCAAATTACTAAAATAGATTTGTTTATGGAAAAATGGTACAGAATATAGAACATTCCTTTTTCTCTGGGAAATGAAATTTATTCTTTTTGTTGTAGATCTTTTACGACTGGTTCAGGTGGCTGGAAAAGACACTGCAAATCTTTTTGCCACCACTGGTTGTATCAGAGCAGAAAGTGATGTCTCAAGTGTGGCCGATGGGTTTAAGTCTCATCTCATTCGCTTGATTGGAAATCTGTGTTACAAGAATAAAGAGAACCAAGACAAGGTAAGATACTTCTCAGGGTGTATCTTCTAAATAAATGGCTTCTTGTAGAACTGAGCTGGGGAATTAAGCTTGAGGTGCTTAGAAAGTAGCCTCTTACACATACACACATAACCTGTTTTCTTTCCAGGGTATACGTAAAATGCTGCATTTGTGTGTGTTAGGTTCATGTTTTTGTAATTTTTCATTGTCTTTTACTATCGGTTTTGTGCTTGACTAGTCAGTCTCCTTTCTTTTAAATTGTCAATATTTTATTCAATCCCTATCTTTTAACATATTCTTTTAGCACATATAGAGCAGTAAATGAAAACGAAATTTAATGATCCCATAAAAAATATCTAGTACATTAAAAAGAAAACCATCAAGTCAGAAACAACGCATAGCTGACCTTGAGCAGGTTTTCAGGAGGCTGTAAATTGCATAGGATGTTGCCCATGGGAGACACCGCCCATCTTTACCCCGCCGAGTGGATGAATCCAGGGCAACTCTTGTTGTCTTCTTTGGCTTAGCAGTGTCACTCTTCTAGGACATTGTTGTTTTTGTTGTTGTTTTGTGCCATCAAGTCAGAACCAACCGAGAGCGGACCATCCAGAAGGTTTTCAGAGACAGTTAATCGCATGGGAGAAGAGTGCCTTTCTCCTGTGGAGCAGCTGGTATATTCGAACCATGTGCCTTTGGGCTAGCAGTCCAACCCCTTACCACTAAGCGACCTGCTCCCTTTCTAGTGAGTAGTAAACATTTAATTAATAGTAATTATTATTGCTAGGAAAACAAACAGATTTGTCCTGGGAAGGGTTAAACCAGGTGGCTCCTTGGAGGCAAGGATTCTGAGGCTCCGTCTAACGTACTTTGGACATGTTGTGAGGAGAGACCGGTCTTTGGAGAGGGACATCATGCTTGGGAGGGTGGAGGGATGGCGCAGGAGAGGAAGGCCCTCTGTGAGGTGGATTGATTCAGTGACTGGGATAATTGGGTTGGGAGTGTCGGAGACAGTGTGACTGGCACAGGACAGAGCGGAGTTTAGGGCTGTTGTACACAGGGTCGCTATGAGTCGCAGGCGACTCGACGGCACATAACAACAACAACAACAATTATTATTGACTATTATCATAAGAAAATACCCTAGAACAAACTTCATTTGAGATTTTATATATTTATATCTTATATTTATAGATGTTAGCATTATAAACCTTTTTCCTTGTATTTCAAAATTTATATATTTTGTTTAAGTCTTTGGAAATTTATTAGGCAGCTGTAGAAGTCTATTTTGGGCCACATAGCCAAAAAAGTCGTTATTTTCACAATATGTGGGGCCATTCAAAATATCCATGGTTAGAGAGTTGTACCAAAAATACATCACACTGAACTAGCCTACTTTTTATCTTCTTGAGAGTTTTCCACTTTGAACAGTATTCGTTTTCCTCCCAAAATAATAAATGTGTCTGTGGCAGATGATGGTTTTCAAAGCTGGTGGCAGATAATCTGTCCTTTCACGTGTAGTTCTGCCTTGTGACCTCGAGTACGACTCTTGGTGACTCCATGAACAACAGGTCTGAACCCACTGCTGTCTGCCGTCCTCACACCCTGACACATTAGAGCTCATGGTTGCGGTCCACCTGGTAGGAGGTTTACCTCACCTCTCCCCTCAGGCCTGTGGCGAAGACTGATTTGCTATTAGAGTTACAGACTAAACTGACAGTGTGTGTGTTTGGGGAGAACATTGTTCTCATTAGGATAGCACTCACTTGTGCCTCAGTTTGATGGACTGAGGTAATGTGTGAGTTGCTGCGATCCTGAGCGGTGTGCCACCACGGTGTCAGATACCACAAGAATAACCCGTGGTGGACAGGCTTTCGTAGAGCTCCCAGGTTAAGACAGACGGGAAGCAGGATTGGCCATCCACTCTCCTGTGTTGGCTGGCCTCTGTTTCTCTCTCCTCTTTGCTCTGGGGCCTGTGACTTTGAACAATGAACTGCGGTGGTGTGGCTCTGAGCTATCCCTGGCATAGTCCTTACTTGGTCTAGCGGGTTTTGGTCCTGACCCCTGAGAAGCATATCACCATGTAAGCAGCTCAGATGTCCTGAGTTCTCCATGCTGTGTGGTGCAGAGTTCACATGGAAAGTCCTGGAGGATGAGATGCCATGAAAATACAAGGGAAATGAGTTGATAAATTCACGGTATCAGACATGTGACTCTGAAGCCATCTTGGAGTGACAGACCATTGTTCCAGCTGACACCACGTGGAGTAGCAGCAACTTGCCTGGTCACACCTTTTCCGATTCTTGACCTACACACCACCTTATGCAAAAAAGTTGGAAAGAATAAAAGTTGGGTAGGTTCTTCGTCTGTTAATGTTCAGTTAAATGATTGCACTGATCATCCTGCATGTAATTACTATAAGGAAACAACTGTGGAAATACAACCCAGCAGGTACTGGAGTCCAGGGACACTTGCAAGGGGGGCCTGGCACAGTGCAAGACTTAGCAAGGAAGTCTACCCTCATTCAGTCTCGGGGGAAATAGAAAAGAGTTCAGGGCAAACACAGTTATTGGGAAGAGAGGGGAGAACAGAGGCGGCTTTATGGGACCAGCGATCACAAACCCCCGACTCGCAAGCATCAGATGCGTTTGTGTAATGTCTGAATCACTCGTGAAAGATAGGCACTAAGCTAGGGTCAAAATAATCAAACTGAAATTTGAGCTGACAGTTTGTAGCTTAAGCCTAATAAAGATTTTACCTGTTAAAACAAAAGTATTGGCAGCTCTTAGAGGACTATAACAGCATCGAGGGAGTTCTGGTAGGCTAATGGTAAGGAGTTGCACTACCAACCTGAAGACACATGGTTCGAACCCATCAGCTAAAAAATCCATCTGGAAAAAGATAAGATAGGCAGTCTCCTCTGAAAACTCGCTGGAGGATCAGCTATGACTTGGTTTCAACTTCATGGCACATAACAACAGCCAAGTCCAGAATTTCTACACTGTAACACACAGTACACAGAATTCAGTCCCCAATTACTTGACATACAGGAACATGTGACCGGTCTCAAGTTAATGAATGGAGACTGACTGAGATGATGGCTGTTACATTCAGAAGATAAGGATTTTAGAGAGCTGTTACAACTATAGTCAGCCCTGGAATGTAGTTCGTTGTGTTGGGCTTTGACCCAGAAGGCTAGTGGTTTAAAGCCAGGAGCAATCTTGCTGGAGAAAGAGAAGTCAGGCTCCTCCTCCCTTAAAGACTTGGAGCCTCTGAACCCTGCTGCAAGGCTGCTGTGGCTCAGAGAAGCCTCAGGACAGTGTGTTTGGGTTAATAAAACGCTTCAAGAATGTAAAGGAAAATCTGCCTGCAGTGATTAAAATGATAAGAGAACCCCAGGAAAGAAATAGAAATGATCAGAGAGAATCAGCTTGTAATTCTGGAGCTGAAAAATACTGTGTCTGGGGGATAAATCACTGAATGGTCTTCACTAGTCAGTATAAAAGACAGTGCGCTTGAAGACAGAGCAGTAGAAATCACCTACACCGAACGGAGTAGGAGGGGAAGGCTGAAGCAAAACGGTCCTTTTAAGACACTACATTTTGGAGTACTTTGTGTGAGAGTGGTGGTCTGTGTGCACCATTTATTATGTGTGCACCAGTTCTCTTCAGTTTCAAGAAGATTTAAAAGTAAGATTCCTGATCCCCACTTGGAAAATTACTGAACTGGTTTATACACGAGAAAGTTGATAGAAAATAAAATACTTTACCATTTTAATGACTTAATGACCACATCTGTCTGTCTTGAGCACAAAAGAAAGGTAGGTGGTTTTTTTTATGTTTAACTATTCTTTTGTTACTAATTTGAATTGGCCTCTTATAGGAACAAAATGTAGTAACCCTTAAAAGGCTTATGAAATAGCTCACCCAATTCAGGATCCAGTTACACCCTAAGTCAATACGGAGCGTGCCCAAGTGCTGCTGTGTCAAGGTCGCCGGGGCACACAGGAAGTGGCCGGTGTGCTGCCTCAGATGTGCAGGCGTTAATGGCACTGCCGAGTTCTGAGCAAACACTCTCAAGACTAGAAAGGGGCTCATTCTTTCTCTGTGAGAATCTCTCTTGTTTCTTCCCGTTTCTCACTTAGGCCATTTCTTTAAAAAGAAAAAGAAATTCTCCTTTAGAACCTGAAACCTCAGCATCTCATTTTGGAGGTGCTAGAAGCTGCTTTCTTCTCAGCAGGTCACTTGTGCTGGTTCTGGCTTTGCTCATTCTGGAAACACAGCTTTGTCACTGGGACGTGGACATTCATCGTACAGTTTAGATGGTTGTCCTCCTGCCAGAATGGAGCCCTGTCTTGTCTCTGTCCTAACCGTGACACTTAAGGTCTGAACCCAAACTCTCTGCCGTTGCACCGGAACAGTCTTGTGGCTGGCCCTGCAGTGGGTTTTTGAGAGGAGGCACCGCTCATCTCCCTCCCGTGCAGCTGCAGGATTCCGCAGGCCCGAGGGGCGCTGTGTTTGGATGAGCAGCGCTCGTCCCCGAGGACCGTGCCGCCACCCCCGGTCCGGACCAGGGGAGGTTTTATACCTCCTCGGCTACCTGGCCTGCTCAGGGTGAGGAGTGTGTGAAGCTCTCTCAGCAAATCAGGGACTCTGGCCTTCGTCATGGATTACATCTCAACATCAAGAACACAGAGGCCCTCCACACTGGTCAGCAGTCACCATTGTCCATCGTGTCATCCTGCTTGGGTCGACACATAGCACCCTTGGTACCAGCAGTAAGGAAATGAGACACCACACTGGGCGGATCTGCTGCAGTGATGTCAGTTTGAAGACTAAGCTATTCCTGTTTCAGGCCGTGGTCTTCTCAGTATCCTGCTGTGCATCGGAGAGCTGGACAGCGAACAATGGTGACAGAAGAATGGATGCTTTGGAGTTGGTGTGCTGGGGCAGAGTCCCGAGTATTTCATGGACTGCCAGAGGAACAAATAGAAATGTCCTGGGGGGAATGCCGCCAGCTTGCTC